AAATATAATCTTGGTAAAGGTGACTGGTCTAAATATGCTTCTTTTACAGATGAATTCATAAATTCTGTTCAACCATTGAGTCCTGAGAGTTTTTTATCTTCTTATTCTGATTTTAAAAATATGCTCATATCTTCAGCAGATAAAGCATTCCCCCTTAAAAAACAATATAAAACTCCAATTCAATCACCTCCTTGGTGGGATCAAGAATGCTACAATGCCTGCAGAAAAAGAAAGGAAGCTGAAAGAATTTATGCTAAATCCATGACTCTTCAAAACTTTATGGCATATCAAAATGAAGCAGCAAAAACTGTTAAAGTTTTATCATCCAAAAAGAGGGCAGGTTGGCACAAGTTCTGTGAATCTCTGTCCCCTGCCACACCCTCTTCTCTAGTCTGGAGAAATATTAAAAGATTCCGTTGTGGTGTATCACATAATTTCAATATATCCTCAAATAATACTGCATTTTAGCTAATCTTTTCCGTTACAAACTTAATTTTCCCTTAATTTACAAGATTAGAGCCGCTCTTTACAGGTGTCATATGAAAGGAATATTGATTTCTCTAGCTTGGATTCCTGGGCACAGTGATATTCAAGGAAATGAAATTGCTGACCATTGTGCCAAGGAAGCAATTAAAACTGGCTCCCTATCCCAATATACTTGTTTCTCTCATGATTTATTATCATATGCTAAAATCAGATCAAACTGTGTTTGGTATGAGCTCTGGAAGAAATCTAGTAGAGAGAGAGGGAAACACTGTGCATCAATCCAACCTGATATTCCAACCAAACCATGGTTCTTTAATTTTCCTAAAGCCAATAAGCATGCCACCTCTATTGTCTGCAGACTTAGACTAGGGCATGTCTGCACTAATGTTCATCTTGCCAAATTAAGAATAAAAGATAGTTCCATCTGTGAATGTGGCCTAGATGATGATTCACCTGTTCATATATTTTTCAACTGTCCCAGAATTCCAGGTTCCTTCCATGATCATCTTCCTTCTAGCATCCCTCGTCCATCTAATATCAATAACCTTTTAACCTATGTTAATTCTTCATTTGTTTATATCTTATGTAATTTTATTAATAGTTGTAATATTAAGTTGTGAACTTAGCATAATAATTACAATCTTATTTTCTTTGTTCTAGGTAATTGCTATAATTATGTAAATTTGTTTAGATATTCTATATATAAAAATATACATATTTAACATTCATAAAATCATTTCATTATAAAAGTTAGGCAAAAATAAACAACCAGAAGTGTTCATTGGCGTATTCATTGAAAACCGCCAAAAAAGAAAAGAAGAAGAAGAAGAAGAATGAATAATCAAGAATGAAATTAAAGTTCCAAATCCATTGATTGAAAAAAGTTCTGTTTTAATTACGGATATATGTAATAGTATTTTAATGTCTTTTATTTCATACATAAAGCGTTTTAAAGTATTAAAACGATCAATGAAAATAATGAAATGTTTGATAGAATGTTAATTTTTGGTTATGGTAAGCTAGAAAACTAAGGAAACAACAAATAAGTATCTATATTTTATTACACCTTTCCTTATTTATTCACCGCTAGGTCACATGAGTTCTATGAAAATATTATGTAAGAAGTACAAATGTTTCGTATTGTTTTGTTTATCGTTTCTAAATGATTTATAACATTCTTGTATATTATACATCATAAGACATCACTGTAATATTGCATATATGTCCGTTAAAATGGAAAAATCTTATTCGTTTTATTTTATAAAGCAATCAGAAAAGATCTATTAGTGTTTTGGTCATTGACATGAAATAAGAAAATGCAAGCTATGTACATATGATATTAAAAAATGTTTAGGCAAGCGACCCACTTATTATTAGTTCACGTATATCAGGTCTGAATTCTCTGTTATCGCCGAAATTTAGAATGATTTATTTGCGACTGCACGCGGCTCTGGGGTGATCAAGATTTTTTTAGTCTTCAAATCGCGAATAAAGCGAGGATACATTTGTATCAACATTTAATATTTTGTTTTAAAGCTTTTTCGAACATAAATAATGCTAGAAACGATTAAGGCCGTAGAAACGTCGAAAGTAAATTTTTTCAAACCGCGAACACAACATTGCGAAGAACAGCCTAACTTTCAAAAGTAATTCGGTTATATCATCAGTTCGAGATAAGAACGAGACAACGAATAAGTACCGCGCCCGTACTTATTTCATTGCATCAGTTTTTGATGCCTGATAACACATGGTTTGTCGTCTGTGTCAAGATAATTTGAACAAAAATATATAAAGTGATTGAGTGCTTTCCATGATAATAATGAGTACACTATTAAGTTTGCGATAGTGTCGGTTATTCCTTTATTAAGGCAGCTTATGTAATAGCTAACTGTGGTAGGGCCACGCAACAACTTTGGTTGTTGCACGAATGGACAGGCCGTCCGGGTACGACCTCACAGAACACCGGCGCGAAGCGGAAGTGTTATGCTTCTGCGTCTTACTTTCGTCTGGTGGGTGAGCTATCCGGGGTCAACTTTATTAAAAGGTGGCATCCGCAACCTAACGGACGTTGTCAATGTCCATGGGCGGCGGTTAACATTTAACTTCAGGTGAACCGCCAGCTCTTGCCACCTACTCACATAACAAAAAAGAGCTAAGAGCAACCCCTGCCAATGACAACTTATTTTAGTTTTTTTTTCTGTAATTACAAATTTAACTCTATTTCTGTAATAACAAAATTAAAGCCCATAAGTTTTTTAAGGTTTACGACGCATATTGTTCTTGGTGATAGTATAATAAACACTAAACTGAATATACGAAAATTCGTACAGGACATAACCGACAATATTCTTAGCAAAAAAATGTTTTATAAGATCGCATTGTTTTTATAATATGGTGCGTCGTACATAAAGTGGATATCGCCGATTACGGATTCCCGTTCTAGGTCGATCAAAGTGAATTTACATAACATTACCGCTATCGGCTTTTAACAAACAATATAATATGTGTTTAATTACAGATTTTCTAATTCGACCTATTTTCTACTTCGAGTTTTTCAGTTTGAGTGTCTCATCTAGAAATTTATTTTGATGATACATCTGCCGTTATCAATGCAAAAGAAATAAATTTTGTAAAAACAAAAAATAAATTAGTAAACACGTCGCAGTGACGTGCACGTTTTACGGTGGTAGGGCCACGCAGCAGCCTCGGTTGTTGCACGAATGGGCAGGCTGGTCCGGATAAGTACCACGACCTCACAGAAGACCAGCGTAAAGTGAAAGTTTAATCCTTTCGCGTTTCGTCTGGTGAGTGTGGTGGCCGGAGCCCAATTTTTAAAAGGTTGTCAACGCATCTGCAACCCTCGGGTGTAGCAGATGTCTATGGGTGGCGGTATTCACTTAACATCAGGTGAACCCCCTGCTCGTTTGACAACTTTTCACATAAAAAAAAGTGAGACATTAAGGCTGAAAATTTACTTACCACACCATAATATACTGACATAAGGCAACAGGATGCAACAGCTCCGCCGTTTGTTACGATTTGATGTTTCATGTTTCTGATTAAGTTATTCGTTAAAATATACGTTACTAAGATATAGCGCTTTAAACTGATGACCATATGAATATTATTCAATAGAAATCAATACTGCATTATGCGACCAAAAGAGAAAAAAAAGGAATTAATTTAGTTTATTTGAAATAGCTTAATTCTTAAAAAAATATGATCACATGAATACATAGTAAGGCTTTCATATTTTTGAAGTTGTCTTAATTATTTTGTAAGCGCTGTATTTCAAAAAATTAATTTATATGTTAATCGACAAGGACTAAATATTTAACCGTATAAATTTTGTTTTGGTGTATCACGTCGGCGTTGAATGTATTTAGTTTTTTAATTTTGTATGATTTGATCTTACATTTGGAATGGACGGTGTTTTATTTTTATGGGTACATATACGTAAGCATGTATATTTAGGCATTCAAGTGTATCCTAGACATCGTCGAGAAAAATGATGTCATGCGATGTTTCCATAGCTGACGAGGTTATAACGCCCACCGCCGACTGAATCATTGATTAGATCTGTACTCCTAAGTCTCTAGTCTCATTCTTTTATAACTCATTCCAGTTAGTTTAGATATGTAACTTGATAAATGAAGAGACCATAAACAATAGATCCTGAGCTTCTTTTCACACTTGCTCTTTAACCCGATTTAGTCAAATTTAGCAAATTTTCGAACTCGAATTCAATGTATAAGGTTTTTATCTAATTCATTAATTCTGCGTAACAGTTCACCCTTACGGAAAGCGTGGCACTAGATCACATTTGCAAAATCCACATAACTTCACATGTCTACGAATGTTGATTGCTCTCAGCTCGGGTAATTCGATAGAGTCTTCGGTGAATTTAATTATGTAAGCTCATATAGAAGCTTCGCCGTAGCGCCGTCTCAAACAAACGCTACTAATAATAAGGCGCAAAATGACGTTCGAGCTCTCCAACGTTGGCAATTGACTTCGAATTTATGAACACGAAAATAAATGCGATGTCTTCATTTTTACCAATTGACAGTGCGTGCTTTTTGTATAGATTATCGCAAAAAAAAACTAATTCGCGCTCACCCATTAGAATGGCAGCTCGTTTATTAACATTACATCAGCTGTCAAACAATTATTTCCGCGATCCAAGCGTGTCAAATGTATTTTCAACATTTGTGGGACTTCTATTATTACGTTGAAAATGAGTTGGAGTTTTGAAAGTTTATTTTGAGAAATTTAACTTGTCATGATTTTGGCTGATAATTAAGCTTTAATAATTTAGCTGATAAGTACGTATAAGACACAGGCAAGGTCACTTTTAGATGATTGGAACGAATAATTGAAAGTTTAACATTGAAAAAAGAAAAAAAGATCTAAATTGAAACGGTTTCTTTCTTTGTGTGACGAATTTCAATCAATACTTGAACAAAGTCGTAAGTAAGACTTTGGCAATAATACAAACATTTCTTTATTTGCAGGAAACTTCTACGCAGCGGAGATAGTGTCGGCTCTTGAATACCTCCACGCTCGGAATATTGTGTACAGAGATCTTAAGCCGGAAAATCTGCTGCTAGCGAAAGATGGCCACCTTAAGATAACAGATTTTGGATTCGCGAAAAAACTGACAGACCGCACATGGACTCTATGTGGAACGCCAGAGTACCTAGCCCCTGAAATTATACAGAGTAAAGGACACAATAAAGCCGTAGACTGGTGGGCCCTAGGTTAGTAAATTATTTATGATCGTTTATAAATATAATATAATATCATAAGAAACTTTTTTGCCTTAAATTATTAAAATATTTTTGTATACTATAAAAAGTATTTAAAACTATTCGTATGTATCTATACAATATATATAACTTTCAAAGGCATTATTAAAATTTTTGCTGTAAGTTTTAAAGTTTGAAAGCGCCAAAAATTCAAACCATGAAACTTGCTTTAATGTTTTTTTCTCCTTTATACTATCTGGTTCCGATAACATTAGCATAAAATTTTATAGTTATGTGGAATTTTATTATCAAAATATTCTAATTTTATTACCCTACTACATTCAATAGCGAAAAAATAAGGAAAAATAATGTAATGAACGTTTTTAATGATTCTTGTGTGAAAGTATAGCCATAAAATGGGGTAAAACATAAGTTTGTTTGAATTAATCTGGCCATTTTTCAATCAAATGTCTAAACGACATTTAAAGTAATTTGTAACGTTTTTGTATTGTTATTTGCATTCGCCGAGTTCCGGGAACTTAAAAAACGTGCATCTTTTTTTAAACTTTCAATTTTTGACCTATTTGGCACTGAGATGTGGAGGATTGGTTGCCAAACTTACTACCGTGTCGATGACTTGACGAAGTAATATTCATGAATTTACATACTTGCAGGCGTTTTTCTATTTAGCCGTACTTGCATCTTTTTTATGTAAACTGAACACTAAACACTAAATTAAAGCTTGAAACATGTGTTAACCTTTAATTTAGACCTAACTAAACATAAAATTGCTCGTTTAACAACTGTTTGCTACAGTATTTTAGGAGATAATTTCAGTGGAATTTTATTTGACGGTTTAATTGTTGATTTATATTGTAGCCCGCATGGGGCATTTCACGTGATTTTCGTTTCTATATCGGAGGTAGGTTCCGCTTTTATTGCTTTTTTATTTTACAAAGTGTTTGTTTTTCTCAGAGTTCCGTATAGCGACGGGTTAGTTGTTTTTCTCGTTCTAGTGATTTTTGGCGGCAAACGCCGACTGTCATTTTAGTATAAGTTTTGATTGACCTATGGCTCGGTAGCGCTATTGTTATAGGTTTGGCAACGTGGATCGCAAGTTGGGTTCTCGCGCGGCATAGGTATTATAATTGTCCGGATTTTGACTGTTGTTTTTTATTTCATTTGTCATTTGTGAGACGCCTCTTGAACACAGGACAATGTCAATTCAGCAGAGCTAATGTAGTTTAAAAAACATACGTTGCCGTTCGTTATCGTTAAATACAATTAATTCAAATTCCTATAAAAAAAGCCTATACATGTCCCACAGCTGGGCAAAGGCCTCCTCCATATAGAGGATATCAGGGCATAGTCCACCACGCGGCCCCACTGCGGATTGGCGGACTTCACATATCTTCGGAATATATTGTTTTTGTTATTATTTCGAAAATATGCGGGTTTCCTCACGATATTTTCCATCCGATAAAAACTTCATTGGTGCCGGCACCGGGGATCGAACTCAGGTTGCTCGAGTATCTTGAATTGAAGGCGAGCGCCCGGACACTGAGTTATCACGGCTCTCTCTCTCTCTCAAATTCCTATGGAATGTTATTATGACGTAGTGTTATTGTTTTGATTAAATATCAGATTCTAAAAAATTTAAATACATTTTCTTTTTACAATATAGAAACACAGACAATGTTTTAAAGTAATAAAGAACTCCTATATAATTATTATAGCAATATAAAGTTATTAAGCGAAGTGTAAAAACTATCAAACAATTGGGATTAAATAAACAAAATTTTGTTTCTGGTTTGCGCTGTAGCTTTGAATATAATTGTTTGCGAACGAATATGTCTCGTACATCGCTTGCTCGCCATCGCTCGGCTCGCGGCTAGCGAACGTGGAGACATTTAAATGTTATGTTTACGTTACAATAATTTAATGTTCCGGTGATTTATGCTCTTGTCCATCGCACAAATTCGCTAGTCCGTGCCAAATTTATAAATGCGCTTGGTGTAATTTATCGGCGTAGGGCTTGTGTGACGCGTACACTCCTCGTGTCGTGCCATTGGGATATGCATACTCACTACTTCGCACCTGTTAAAGATTTGATGTGTCCACCTAATAAGGACAACATTTATTCTATAACCTTGCGGCTGAAGGATTTTTAGGAGCAGTAAACTCGTTACCCATTGATTCTTTGATGCGGAGGATTAAAATAGATTTGTATATTCTTTCAGGCGTACTGATTTATGAAATGTTGGTCGGCTACCCGCCTTTTTACGACGATAACCCGTTCGGAATATATGAGAAGATCCTTAACGGGAGAGTTGACTGGCCTCGACACCTCGATCCCATTGCCAAGGACCTTATTAAGAAGCTTTTAGTTCAAGACAGGACAAAAAGGCTCGGCAATATGAAGGTAAGAAATAATAAACCTTTTAAAATGGTTAATTAAAAAAAAATGTAATGTATTAATTTTTGGTCATTTTACTCCATACTGTTGTATAGTGAATTTTGACAAAGGAGTTTAATTTTTTTCTATGTAGCCGTAAAGGAATAATTCTTTCGCTACATTAGAATTTTCTAAAAATTCAAATGTTGTTCAATACTTATTAATAATTACGAGTTTGCGTGAATAGTGAATTTTAACATTATTGTCATTGACCCAACTAATACTTATCTTTCATTTCCATGTTAGAGGGTGTTTGTTTTGCTTTTGAAAATGTTACAGTTGTGAGTATACTTTCCACGTGTTTGCGTGTGCAACGTATGTTTTTTAAATTCAAGTTCGTGTTTGGTATCTGCATATAAAATTATATTGTAACACCGGCTGTAACTAGTTCTTTGGAGGAGACTAACAGGCTAAAATTTTAGTTACTAATTAATGTGATGCATTATTGATATTTTCAATTAGGAGATAAAGAAGAGAAACTACATAATAGAGTTTCTTTTAATAAGCGTTAAGGCATCGCCATTATAATTTTATTATTTGATATTTAGTAATTTAGATCACAATTTAGTGTCGCCGGAGTTTCTTTCCTAGAATTCTTAATTGTGCCGTTGGCTCAAGTAATAGGATGTAAACATCGCTTCTCTCTGTGTAGCGTGTAGAGTTTTCCAAAAGGGTATGTGTGCCGCTAACGAGCGTAGTTTCTAGTGATTTGACGTTTTCACCGAGCTTTTTGTCGTGATGGCAATGTCGCATAGATGTTTAGAAAGCCATCAGTCAGGTGGACGGCGGCTATTTCAAAAGTCGTCGACGACGGCAGACTAACGTCTTGACGGTGACTCATAGCAACATCCTCGTAGGTGTATAACTTTTAATTATGTCTGCAATTACTAAAAATTACAAAAAGTCAGTATATCACTTTTTTAAATACTTCGGATCAGTTGACACAGTACTACACAATATTTTTGCTCCAAAAATTACACGTTTGGAAACAGTAAATCAAATTTAATACTAAAGTAATAATAGAAATTTATATGATGATTGTTGACACTTTATTTCGCTTTATTCACCAGTCCTATGCATAGTTTACTATGGCTAGGTCCCTATTGAATTGGATTATTAATTAGACGATTCTAATTAACATTGGGACCGACGAAGTGATCATTATTACGATTCCTGGTTACTACAATCCTAATTAGCAAAACGGCTTTATGGAATTCTCGATGATACTCAAGGGAATTTTTGCATTCTTAACGATACTACATATGTGTGTATCATAAGCTGCTCTCTATATAATAATATAGTTTTCTATGATGTTTATTTACGAAAATAGCGCACATAAAACTATGATTGCTAGTTGTCTTATACGTATTCAATTTTTTATGCTTACAGTTATCTGATGTAGGTACACATTTAATTCCGAAATTAATTTCGGAATTAAAAATGTGTTGGCGGTTAGTTTACTTTTTCTTTTTTTGTTCATTTCAATAAACTAATGAAGTCTCTGTTTTAAATTAACTTTAAATTAATTTTTATAGTTTCCTGCAAAAAAATATACAACTATGTATTTTCGAGGAAAATAAATTTCTCTTTTAAAGACTTTTTTTATCTTTCACTTTGATATGTTGTTTTATATAGGGTCTGTCCTCTAGAACGTTTCCTGCTTTTGGATCTAAATACCAACGATCGATTCAGAATGTTTATACGTGAAATCTTGGATATTTTTCTTATAAAAATATACTTCTTACTTATCATACAAGTGCCATTTCGATACACTATGACCCTTCCATTTATATTTTCCTATTCTGTCTACTACATAGGATGAATTGGATGATTCATAGTCTTTATCAATGTTTTAAATAGTCTAATTTTGTAAGTTTTACACATGCAGTGATTGCGAGAGCTGGGTTATATAAAATACTTAAACGTGTTTTTAATGTTTTCATTACAGTGTGGATCTGAAGACGTTAAGAGGCACAGATGGTTTAAGAATTTGGATTGGGCAGATGTGTTTATGAAGAAGTTACAGGTAACTTAAATACAGACATTTTTAGAAATAGGTTTTATACTACAAGGCGTATAAAACCGCCATATACAGAATTATAAACAGAATTATTCTAAATTATAAACAGAAGTACCTTTAAAATTTATTAGTTAGTGAGAAGTTCATTATTAAACGTTTCAATTGACATTAAAATTTGATGAAAAGTAAAAATCATCATTATAAATCTCTTGTTATATTGTATTATAATAACAAAGTATCATATATTGTATTAATAATAACAAAGTTTTGTTATATGCTGATATGTATCAGACAAATAAATTTATTACCTTATAAAAATGATAGAAGTTTGGTCTGAAGCAAAATTGTATCCACTTCGTAAGGAGTAAATACCGTTAGATACTGAGAATGGGCATGAAAAATTTGTAATATTCAGCGAAGTTTTTACGAAATTCTTCTGTTGCCAGCCACCTATCATGCCGACGGTGTCATACGAAGGGGACACTTCGAACTTCGACGAATATCCGGAGACCGATTGGAAAGCGGCGAGGGCGCTCGACCCTGATGAGCTCAAGCTCTTCGCAAACTTTTGATGTACTTAGTTTAATTTTAAATCAATTCTATCAATGGTTTACTTCATCAGTAGACCTTCATAGCCATTCGATGTAACACGAGATGCCATAACTACTTTGATATACCTTAAACATGACGTTATAAATTTTTTAGTGTTAAAGCTCATGACATATGTGCAAACATAAGCTCTCACGTGTTTTATATTTGTAGTATAAAGATAGAGGCTATCTACGTGTTGTTCACGTTATACTGAGCGTTTCATTACATTCATGGACAGCCTATCGCCGTCCACATGGCACAAATCTTGGGTAAATTAATTTTATACGTGCCGTTAGGATTCCATAATGCGACGATTTCGATCGCTAGTTGACGTCCTTATGCAAAAGGCAACTTTAAATTCGTTATACCAATTACCCATTTTATGGGTTAATAGTTTTAGTTATATCAATGTTAATAGTATACTATGTACACTTAACTGCATCGTGTATATTGAAGGAATAGTTCATCTACATTTAAATTTAAACGCTTAATATCTACACATATTAATGAACTCTTCAAATTTTTTTTAATCTAAATTATAAATAAATTTCATTGTTGTTTGCGATTCTTAAACAAATTAAAATTTACATTTAAAAGAGGTATGCGTCACATTTATTTGTTATACTAAAACCACGTTTAGTCTCTTATAAGCATACATAGATAATTTACGATTGTGAAATTAGAAGCTGCATTTAAGATGATGTCTACTTTGAAATGTATAAAAAGAAAACGTCTATATGATCATTGATCCTATTAAATATTTATAGGAATTTTATAAAATAAACTTTTAAAATGTGTAAATATAAATATGTAGACAGATTTTCTATAAAACATCACACTAATTTACATATATCACAATTCCAAGGTTTTCTAACAGATTTGATTGTAGCTATTAATTGTAAATCAGCTTACGACTATTGGATTAGTATCCGATGTTTGTGATTTTAAGTATTACTTAAGTAGATTTAAACACGTGTTAGTTAAGTATTTATTTATACTGTGTTATCTAAGCTTCATATTTATTAAAACTTTGTGTCTTGGGATCATTATTTTTTTTATTGTTATAAATTAAATAAATTTTCAAGGCAAACTAATTATACTTGTGATTAAATTGCAAAAATGAAATAATTTAGTAGTAAACATATAGTTCCCAAATACTTGCCTGGCCATGTTAATTGTTCTGTGGTATTTTAGAACCCACGAGAACAAAATATTAACACACCCCTGTAGCGCATTGTTAAGAAAATGAATGTAAAATAAAGTCAAACAGGGTTTTAAATGTAATTCGTAGAATAAATCGCTGTAAGTATTCATTAAATAAATGTTTCAAAAATATATGCATCTTTATTTTAACATGAAACAAATCGTGCGCTTTGTGTTTTTCTAGAAAACTAATGCTACTTGTGTGTTTAATGTTTATTGATACACGTTGAAAGTTTTTAAATAGTGGTGTTGCGCAGGCATGAATCAGAGCAAACAAAAGCATCCGTTACAAGAGATTACACGTTTTAAATTTGAACAGCAAAGAGTTTAAGAGTTAAGCAATTTGATTAATGTCTTCGTTAATGTAAACTTAGGTATTTTATACTTTACGAACGCGCTCGCAGAGGATTACTCGAACGTTGGATTGATTGTATGTTTTAACTTTATTTGTATTAAGCTGACGTGTACATGTTATTTTAATTCTCGTATATATTTACCTTCATCCCGTCTAAGCAGACAGCGCGCCGCCGCTTGTTTTCAGTCTGTTCAATTTTGATCGAAGTCAGAAACGGCAGGTATCTACATAAAAAACAATCTAATATATAATATTCTCGTGTCACGGTGTTTGTAATTGAACTCCTCCGAAACGGCTCGACCGATTTTCGTTAAATTTTGTGTGCATATCGGCCGGGGTGGAGAATCGGACAACATCTATTTTTCATTCTCCTAAATGTTAAGGGTCAAACATTTTTTTCTACCCTACAAATAATTTATATGGCAAAACAACTTTGCAGGGTCAGCTAGTAATATGAAAAGTATTTGTAAGTAAGTTTTAGAAAATATATAAAATTATTAATGTTGCAAACTCAAATACATTGGGTAGAAGGATCTGTGGAAATGACTCATACTCTGCACTTGCGAGTCCCCTGGTTGCAGTTAATTTTATACTCAAATACAATAATAATAATATAATGGAGCATATATTGAAAGCCTATCAAGAGTAGAAAAGCCAGTACGGATTTGACGTCCAGCCAATTTCTTGAGAGTTACCAGCCGAGTTTTCGGCCCATAAGAGATCTAATACCGAAAGAGAGTGTACAATAGCGTGTCCTTTTCACCGCAAAAAAGGAGCCTGTTGATATCAACTTCTACTTTTTATAATTTACCTTTAAATATCTAACCACATTTGAATGTTCGCTGTTGAAATCCGCTGAAATTTTGTTCAGTTTATAGTCCAGAGCAAAAGCAGCAGCAAATAAATTTGGGTTTCAATGCAAAGGTTGTATCATGTTATGAATCCTAAGTGTGAAATACTGCTTCTATATTTGGAATGGTGTTACAAAATACCACTTTATTACTCAGCTAAACGTCATATCTTTAGACCGAAAAAAATCTTAAGGTCTTATATATTTTATTTTTATTGTATTTTAATAATTGCTAAGCGCCATCTAGTGTATTTCCTTTACAATGACCAATTTTTCATTGACATTTTTCAATGAAATGTTTGAAAACTAGTGCATGCCCTGTGATGTTAGATATCCCGGAGGATGCAGGTTTAAGTTCTCGTAGCAGTGAACACTTTTCGTTCAATTCATATTTTTAAATTGTCTACAATTAATTATTGATTATTATAATTATTCTCACGTTATTCTCCAGTCAGGAAAAAGGATTAGGTAATTTAATCAGGTCGCTGCGATCAGCGGCTCTGGAATACCTTACCATATTTAAATGAATAAAAAAAGATCTTTATTTAAGATATTTTTTACAAATTTATTTCTAAACAACCGTAGCTGCTGAAAGTAACTTAAATAAGCAAGAAAGTAACATTATTATGAATGCTTTAGTAACAAATGCATTTTAGATCCAAAGTATTATAAGTATTATAACTTCATTTTTTTATTAAAATATTAAAATCTCTTAAGTGCAAAGATTAGCACTATAAACAATATAAATTTGCATTTTTTTAGTTGAAATCGTCAAATATGAATTTATTAGATTTTATTTAATCATATTTGCTGTTTTCATCCAAGTCCTAACTTCCTTAATACAAAAATGTATATATATTTTAAGCGCGATTCAAAGATAGTTATAATAGTAGATAATCAGCGATAAAATAAATGGCACAGGTAAGTTTCCACTTGCATTGTGTAAAGAGCTGCTTTCATGTGAAATCGTGCGTTTGGGTTGTGTGGACATTTACATAAAAGTTTACTTTTGATATGTCTGTACGACCATTATCTGTTGAACTCGCGGAAAAGGCTCGATTGGAGCTGAACGAAAATCCAAACAGGGTTAAAGATGATTTGCAGCATATGAAGGATTGGTTGGCAAAGCAGCCGCACTTGCGTGCAAGGACAGGTAAACTTTTTTATCCTTATCTTGTGTCCCATGTTGATATATAATTTTTCTAATAACAAGCAATGTAATACCTATTTAAGAAATAAAATTAATAAAGCTTAAATACATATTAGTAAAACAGTGTTAAGTCCAAGTAGCTCGGTAGTTTATGCAAATAGAGAAAAAAATATTTTTACCTAATTGTTACGCTATTTGTTAATGAAATTTGAAAAAGTTCAAGTAAGTTCAGTTTCGATGGGATCAAGGCAAAGCCCTTTTTCGGTTTTGTGAAAAAATAAGATAAAAACGTGAGAAGAATTTTTCGAATCGTAATTGATGATTTCACTGGTTCTTTCCTAATGGTAAAAGTTGAAATAAGTTTCAATAACACATGTTTTTCCCCCCCCTGGGCTGGGTCCAGAACCTAGGTGTACGACTAATTAAATTTGCTAATCAAAGTTGTTAAACATAATGTTTTTATATATTTTTTGCCACAATATAGATTTTATGTAAGTACCTTAAATATCTCTCAATTTGATTGGTATATTTTTTTTCGATGTATATACACCGATTACGTTGAGATTTATGTTCCGATTTACGTGATTCTTCTTTTAGTTTGATGCAGATGCAGATGATGATGATTTAGTTTTATGTCAGATGCAGATGAATAGTTGCCATTTGGTCCCATTAAAATTTACCATAGTTTGGCCAAGTAATTTTCATTTTATGAACATTTTTACAATATTTGAATGTTAAATCATCAAATTAAATCTTGCAAATTAAATGTAATCTACTTATGGTTCTGGTTACCGCTTGAGCTGAAATTTTGTATACATGTGTAAATCGCGAGACAATGCAATATTTTTATGAGGATCTGGACGAGGGTCAAAGGAACTTCGAAATGAAACAACAAAGCCTCATCGCATTTGGGTACATTTGAATCGTATTGACGAGTAGTTAGTCTTTCATTGGTAACCAGGATCTGATGATGGAGCTCCACGGGTTGCAGATGCTACCCCACTTTATTATTAGGAAAACGCATCTCGTGAGTGCTCACTCAGAGTGGTACTCACCAGACAAATCGCAGAAGTACTTTACACCGATCTTCTGTGAGGTCTATGAGGCTATTCTGTGAGGTTCCTATGACTACTCTACAATAAAACGACTCAACCCCATCGAGTTTCGGCTCGTTTGATTCGTCATGACGAGTTCTTTGGTGCTAGGTGATAGGAACTCAGTAATTAAGGAACACAACTGCGTCGTGTTTGATTCGTCTTAATGGGTGGACGGTTTTTGATGGATGGTGAGATGTGGGGGCTTAGTGGACGTGAGTATGCGAGACCATCTTTGGGAAATTTGAAAAGTTTGTTCGTTCTTTTTGTCATGAATTTGAATTCTGTCTTTGATTAGATGGATTAGAAGCGCTGAATATTATGAATGAATGACTGAATAAATATTTTTTATGACTACCGCATTATCAAGAAGTTTGTTGTTGTTTTTAGGGTAATAGAATGTCATATTTTTTTTAAAAAAAAGTTTGTTTTTATTTCAATAAACGATTATACTACTGAGTCTGAAACTCCTGTGTGAATTTAGACACCTTTATTTAAGCCAACCTGTATAATATATGATAATAAAAACAACGAAATGTTATGAACAAAAAAGAATTTTGCAAATCCGTCTATATATGACGAAGGTATGCCCGAACATACCTACATTAAAAAAATATAAACATCCGAATTGATAACCTCCTTCTTTTTGAAGTCGGTTAAAATAAGTACCTAGTTTTTACTTGTATCTATGATTATAAAAATTTAATTATAACTTCTTATCACTTGATCACGTCTACGTGACCCCCCCCCTACCCCACATCTCTCGCATCAAAGCTGGATCCGCCCTTGCTTCTGTAAGGCAGTACTTGCTCCGAGAAGTCTGCTCCCTTTCATTTTTTTTAAGGGAAAAGTTACCAAACGAGCAGACCGTTCACCTGATGGTAAGTGAATTACGCCGCCCATGGACATCTGCTACACCCGAGGGTTACAGATGCGTTGACAACCTTTCGAAATTTCGGCTTCGGCTAACCTCACTCACCAGACGAAACGCGAAAGTATTTGTCATACTTCCACTTTACGCTGGTCTTCTGTGAGGTCGTGGTACTTACCCGGACGGGCCTGCCCATTCGTGCAACAGCCGAGGCTACTGCGTGGCCCTACCACCGTCATTTTTTTAAATATCTACACTAGTTATATCTCTTGTTACAGAAGACCAATGGCTGATTGCATTTCTCCGCGGGTGCAAATTTAGCTTAGAGAGGACCAAAGAAAAATTAGACCTTTACTATTCTATCCGTAATACAGCGCCAGACTATTTCAGAATTAATCACACTGAACCCCTTTTTAATGAAGTTCTTGGCCTGGGGTAATAAATTTTTCTACAAATAATAAATTGCGACAGTTCTGATTTTTTTTGTAATTTAATGTATATTTACAGTTCTTACCTAATTTTACCGAAACTGGCCTCTCCTACATCTCCTCGTGTTATAATTGTAAGGCCTGGAAGCTATAACCCCGAAAAGTATACGGTCGCCGACATCTTAAGTGTTAGCTTTATTTTAGAAAAAGTAAGATTGAAATAAGTCACTTACTGTTTGTTCATAAAGATTCATTTTGACTTTCACTTGCAAATTCTTCTTTAGATTTTGTTCCTGGAAGATGATAACATGATTGTGGCCGGTATTCAATTTATTTTAGATTTGGACGCAGTTACAATGTTGCATTTTTTGCAAATGACACCAATGACTTTAAAGAAAATGGTGGTAACCACTCAGGTATTATGGTCTTAGAAAACCTTACATAGAGTTTAATTCATAACAGCAGTAGCATTGTTTAACGATTAAATTAATGATTGCTTTGTTTCAGGATGCAAAGCCGATACGTATGAAGGGAACTCACTATTTAAATACACCAAAAGGATTTGAAACAGTATTTAATGCGATAAAAAGTCTACTCAATGAGAAGAATCAGAACCGAGTAAGTAGTAAATATATTAGATTCAAGTAAAGAAGAAAAAGAAGAATGTAATTAAATTTATAAATCAATGTATAGATTTAATTGTACAAGCTAATTTTTTAATGCTTTTAGCTCTACGTTCATAACAAAAATTATGATGAAATGTATAAGCACATACCTAAAGAAATACTGCCAACCGAATATGGAGGTAGTGGAGGCAACATTAAGGAGATAATAGGTATATTGTTATATTAAATATCCTTATTTCATTTCATATGTATTTATTAATATATAATTTTATATCTTCAGAGTACTGGAAGAATAAAGTAGAGGAATACAATGAATTTTTAAAACAAGACTGGCAATGTGGTACTGACGAATCAAAACGTCCTGGAAAGCCAAAAACTGCAGAAGATATGTTTGGTGTGGAGGGCTCCTTTAGACAATTGCATTTTGATTAAGTAAGTTTTTAGTCAACTGAAGGCAACTAACAATTTTTAAATTATAGCAACTGAAATTAAGGCCTAAATATAATATTAATATTGTTAAAATTATGTAATGTCTGTAGATATATTTTGTCTCTTTTAACTTTAATTGTATCAATAATTTCTATAATTACTAAAATTTACTTTATGATAAACGTTATATATTATAGTTTTGTACTTAAAATTGATTGCAAATCTTTAAATAAACATTATTTTTTGAAGTTGTATTATCGGTTTGGTACGAAAAGATTAAAGCGTTAGACCAATAAAGTGAAAGATAACGACTTGTTTTGTTAAGAATAACATTCATAAGCAGTGACAGATAAGAAACCGTTGTTCTTACAGGGATTTTGATATCGATGATAATTTAAAATGTCAAATGTCTAATCATTAAAAAGATGATGAATTTACTTGGGACCAATTTATTTTTGAATACAAACACAGAATATGCTTACTTGTACAGAAAAGTAAAATTTCAAGGACTGTCCCTGAAATCTTACTTGTCTGTACACTTATTACTTTTATTGTTTTCTTGAATTTATTTCATTTTAATATATCTATCAATATCGTATATTATTACTCAAAAATAGCTAGCAAAAGCGCAGCCGTGTAAATCATGGAATAGGCAGCTGTTCTATGTCACAGATCTTTCGTGCTCTGAGAAACAAAGGTGAGGGGTGATGGTGAGATTGACCATTTAAACATTTAGGAGTTATCATTATAGCATGTATATATGTGTGCATATTATATCATACATAGCATGACTCAAGTTGTTATTAGCATTGAGATTAACTTAAAATAAGTGTATAAATCAAACACTTCACACACATTAAAATGAACAAAATTGAGCGTTCAACTCATAACTGGTTCAGGCTTTATGGAATATCAACTAACCCCACTAAATGTCAAGCATTGTTCGTGGGAAGTTCTAGAATGTTGGCTAAAATTGTTATCGCAAGTCTGCCTGTTATCTATTATAATAATGATATTATCCGTTGTGTAAAAAATAAAATTGAACTCGGGATTACAAATCACCGAAGTTCGTTAAGTCCTGTAACCTTACGAACTCTTTATCGTCTGTAGAGTTTTCACCCTTTCATTAAATTATTGAGCTATTGCTCCTACTTGTACAGTCGCTTATTCTTCGAATGATTGATTACGCGGATGTTTGTTAATCATTCTTGAACAAAGACCTTAACAAGCTAGACCTCCCCGCCGGCTCAATTACATCTCTCAATCGGGTCTTCATAGGAGTGGATAAGAAAATCGATCCAATAATCTCATTCTAATATCGAGTGCGAAGCTCCGATCTTGTACCTGGCGTAGGACTTTAACCGAACTTTTCTTTTAAGCTTGTTCCATAAATACTCCATATGTTTAAGTCTGAACTACATACTGGCCACTCCATATACTCAATGTCGAACTCCTACTAGGTAAAGCTAAACAGAAGCTGTAGAATGTGGATGGGTATTTTCTTGCATTATCAAGTTTTCACCGAATAAGCTTGCATAAGGAGGCTCAGTGTCCAGGAGCACGCTTTTAATTCAATATACTCGAACAAACTCCGTCAAAATTCCAACAAAATTGTTAATTTTTTAAGTCTTATTTTATCTTATGCGAAGGAAAACATCGCGGGAAACTTGTGTATTTTCGAAATAATAACAACAAAAATATAATTCGAAGATATCTGAAGTCTACCAATCTGTAGTGGGGTCACTTGGTGGACTATACGCTAGGTTATTACGGATACCCTGTGTACAAAGGAGGCCGCCGCAGCACTCGCTTGTGGGCCAACGATGGCATGGTCTTTAGATGTTAGTGATCCTCCGAGATCCTGCGGCCTGTGATAGGCTCCCCATAATGTCTTCACGGTCACAGAAATTCTCGTGGAAGTGTACGAGCGTAGAGTGGCGCAAAATTACGCTAATGTGCGTGCGTGCAATTATCCGCACAGTCTTACATACTACGCGCTAAACGGGTCAGAAACTACGAGATCGTTTCTATTTTGAGGTCTTTCGCGATGACGTCATTTTTGACGCTTTTAGCGGTACCTTAGACGCCAGGACAGGGTATAGTTTCGTGGAATTGGTCTGTTGGGTCAGGTGGTCGAGCAGACCCTTTCCGACCGGGTTCCCACCTAGACGTGGCGGAGGTGCTTAATAATAATATAAGGGAGGGGCGTAGACCACAAAACAACAATTCACAAGCTAGATTATTATGGCATTCGTGGCATCGCCCACAATATCACTGCCTCTTACCTTAGTAATAGAATTATAAAAGTATCATCAATTGCATTGAGACAACACCTAAGCCGGTTACATTAAATATTGTTCATAAAAATATACAAGGCATAGGTGGCAAAGAACCAGAAATTGAACTGTTTCTCAGGAAATTTAATATTCATGTCATCTGCTTCACAGAGACATGGTTACATAAGCATTGTAATATTGTAGATATAGAAAACTATAAATTGTTGAGTTCATTCGTAAGAGTAAATGCTATTCGCGGTGGCTCTCTTGTATTAGTAAGAACTGATGTAGTATGTAAAATTGATAGAATTATCCTGCGTTGATAACGCATCCCTCAATCCTGTTGAGTCCGCTGTTTTCTTGGGGATTACAGTAGATTCAAAGCTCCAGTGGAGTCCCCATCTATCATCTCTTGCGAGTAGGCTAAGCTCCGATCCGAAGCTCGATTAGGAGGGTTAGGTAGCTAACAGATATCGACACTGCCAGACTTGTTTACTTTAGTTATTTTCATCTTATCGTACGGCATTTTGTTGTTGGGTAGTGCATCAGATATAAATTCTATATTTATTCTCCAAAAAAGAGCTGTCCGAGCAATCTATAACATCGGAGCCCAAAATACACTCAGAGATCTTTTTAATGAGATTAATATTTTGTATGTTAGACATAATCTTAATTGTTACCTAAAGAATAGTGATAGACATAAATTAAACATTAGAAATAAGGACAAATTAATTACGCTATTATTTCGTCTACAAAAAGTAAATAGATCGTTTATGGGGCAAAGTGTGCGCATGTATAATAAAATCCCACAGTCGATATTAAGTCTGTCACTAGATCAATTTAAACGCAAAATTAAAAATGAACTTATGACTAAGGCATATTATACCATTGCGGAATATCTTGGCGACGCCAATGTGTGAGGTTAATCTTGTTGATACTCACGTAGGCTAAAATAAGACGTACTTGTTCTATTATATTGTAAACTAATCGTTTTAAAAAAAGCAACTGTTTCTTCGGCTCAACAGAAACTGCTTTCCGAACCGGTGGTAACTTAAGAACGTATTAATTTTTATGTAAAATTTTGACATTTCATAAGAACGTGCAGGTGTCTATATGAATAAATATATTTTTGATTTTGATTTAGATTTTAATTGTTTATAGTGCTAATCTTTGCACTTAAGATTGAACATTAAAATATGTAGAAAAAGTGCTAAAAGATTGTCGCCGCTGTGGGAATCAAACCCACGTCTTCGGCATTCGCGGCCTGACGCTCTAGCCACTGAGCTAAACGGCTGATTGCCACACTGACGAAAATCTCAACGCATTCTTCTACATTGTTTTAGTCGAAAGCGTTCACGTAGCCCTGCCGATATGCGCCTAGGTGGAAAAATCGTGGGGGTTTTACTCTGTGCGAGTCCGACATGACCTGCTTTTGCCCCCGCGGGGGCAGGTATGCGTAAGGATTACAGACTTTAACAAAAAAAAAAAAGTGGTCAGCCGACGATTTATTGTGGTCGTGTGGCCTTGGCGGTAAGTTTTGATATCATCAATCCCTTTTATTCACTATCCTGGGACTTCATCAGGGGTATCCCGCATATCATTAAGTTCGTGTATGGCGGCATCGCGGATTACTAGCGTGATAGATACATCCTGTACCCGGATAATGATGAAGGAAGATCCGAAGAGAGATCTAGAGTGGAGTTCAAGAGGGGTTGGTGCTTGGCCCGTTGCTGTGGAACGCCGTGTTTGATGCAGTCTTGTGTAACGATCTTTCCGCTTAGGTAAACCTCGACAGCTATGCAAAGGACACATTGGTAATTGTTTGCAGGGATACTGTCGAGGGGCCCAAGGAGCTTGCCGAGCTTAGATTTGAAATCGTCGATACGAAGATCGACGACTTGGGTTTAGAAATGGCGTCCATTAAGACAGAGGTGCTATGGTTCCATGAAATGCCACGAGGAAGACATCCCTCAACTTGTTTGTCCGCGTAGTTGGGTCTGTGGTTAGGGTAGGTCAGTACATGAAGTACCTGGGCGTACACCTGGATATTCGTTAAGGCTTCGAAGTACACTTCAAACGCCTATTTCCGCGGATTGAGAGGATAGCACGCACAATCCTACATATCAATCTATACGTAGGTTTATACGTGGGGCCGATTTGTGCAAAAAACTTCTCATTAGACATCGTATATCTATTGTTTACAGCGTTCACGTCGGATGGCCAAACAGATTATACGAGGATATATAACCATATATTATTCTTTGAGACGTCCTGGTTCGCTTTCCACCTTTAGACATATTGCCGACATATGGCCGTGGAGTGTCGTAACTACTTATTTATACCGCGAAGGATCAGAAGGAGGCCGCTGGGCGGGGTCTTTAGAGGGCAGATTACACTTGGAGACTGCGCCATCAAGGCGAAGGTGTGTCCCGTCACGGCTTTGTAAATGGCAGATGACCTATCATTCGCTTATCGTTATTACCATATTATTTTATTTAAAGGTTTACATTCTGTACTAAACACATAAAAATAGAAGAAAGCTAATATATTTGATAAGTTTATTCTGCTAAATTGTTGTTATGATCAGAATGTATAGCTATAATACTAATAAACTATGCTCCAGTATTTGGATAAAGCGGACTGAATCGACGTTTTTATCTTAAGTGCAGTCACGTTATCGTTTCTGTTAAATCAACGTTTCAAGCGAAATCATTGTAACTATTG